GTGCTTAAAGGACACTCAAGCAATTACGCACAAATCTGAATATTTAAACACTTTACAACACAAGCATAAACTAATGATCAAAAGGATTATTATATAGTCCTCCTAGTACGGAAGCCGATAAGGGCCATTCAAAAAAAAAATTATGTCGTAATTACGACATAGCATGTCGTAATTTCGACATAACATGTCGTTATAACGACATCGCTATGTCGTAATTTCGACATAACATGTCGTTATAACGACATCGCTATGTCGTAATTTCGACATAACATGTCGTTATTACGACATCACTATGTCGTAATAACGACATAGCTATGTCGTAATAACGACATCGCTATATATATATAAGAATATGTATTATGATTGCCAAGAGACTTAATGACACCGAAATTAACAACTATATGTCATCATAATGCCCTCAATAATGAGAAAAGCCCCCGCATAGTCAGCTATAAAAGAGGGACGAAAGATACCAGAGGGAGAGTCCCCGAAATGACAGCTGTTTAATAATTTAATTCAAACGAGTGAAAATAACGGTTTTAATAATGTACAAACAAAGACCGAAAAACGAATATATAACACAGCAACAGATGACAATTCCACTGAATTACAGACTCCTGACCGCTATGTGATAATAATGGTAACCTTATAGTTTAACTTTTCACTTTTTGATGCGATAGGCATTTCAAAATGGTTGTCAGTAAAGGCAAAGTTTGTAGCGGAAACAAATTCATCTTTTTTTTTTTAGAATAATGAACACTATATGCAATCAAGCTTAATTAAAGTTATTCACTTGCACCTCAGACTTGCACATACTAGAACTTTATTTATAATCAAGTCAAATGAGACCCAGTTGAATAAGGGAGCAATTCAAGCTCCTTGGAGCCTCTAATTATGTTTGGCATGTACAGATTTGTGTAAATTATGAAGTCCTGCATTTCCATTGCAGGTTCTGAATAAGATGAATTTAAGCTTTTCCCTATAAAGACTATGTTAAACTTTGTACTCATAGTGCTCAGACCCACGGATCTCTGTACCTTCATTTGTACACACTTGAATCTTAATGTACGGTAACTACTGAGGCTTGATGCAAATTATTACTGCATTGCTATTGTTGGTTCTTAATGAGATTCTTCAAGCGTCCTCCCCATTGAAGCCCTATTAAAACTTTGTACCCCAAGTTCTTTTAACCACTGTTCCCAAGGGCAACTATTCCTACAAACTTAAGGGGAGGGTTAGGATCCCGCTAACATGTTTAACCCCGCCACATTCTTTATGTATGTGTATGTCCGAAGTCTTTAATTTACATATTTGTTTTTCGTTTATTTTTGTACATAGAATAGGCCGCTAGTTTTTCTCGTTTGAATTGTATTACATTTGTCATTTCGGGGCCTTTTATAGCTGACTATGCGGTATGGGCTGTGATCATTGTTGAAGGCCGTACGGTGACTTTAATTGTAAATTTCTGTGTCATTTGGTTTCTTGTTGAGAGTTGCGTTTTTTAACAAACCAGCGTATCCCAAGGCCTTGGTAACCTCTGTAGACCCCAAATAAGACGAAAAAAACATCAAAATTGGAGAGAAAACTGCATGAAAAAAATGGTTTCTAACCTCAGGGATATTAACCCTTGGCTATCTTAGATTTAATGCAATCAGTATGCATCAGCATCAGGGTACAGCTCATTTGCATATCATTTGCATATCATTTGCATATTTTTACAAATACTCGAAATTTAGACAATTTCTGATAACAATTCAGCATGCCAAGGGTTAATATCCCTGAGGTTAGAAACCATTTATTTTCAGTTTTCTCTCCAGTTTTGATGTTTTTTCGTCTTATTTGTGGCCTACAGAGGTTATCAAGGCTTTGGGATACGCTGGTTTGTTAAAAAACGCAACTCTCCACAAGAAACCAAATGACACAGAAATTAACAATTATAGGTCACCGTACGGCCTTCAACAATGATCACAGCCCATACCGCATAGTCAGCTATAAAAGGCCCCGAAATGACAAATGTAATACAATTCAAACGAGAAAAACTAGCGGCCTATTTTATGTACAAAAATAAACGAAAAACAAATATGTAAATTAAGACTTGGGACAGACACATACATTAAGAATGTGGCGGGGTTAAACATGTTAGCGGGATCCCAACCCTCCCTCTAAGTTTGTAGGAATAGTTGTCCCGGGGAACAGTGGTTAAAAGAACTTGGGGTACAAAGTTTTAATAGGGCTTCAATGGGGAGGACGCTTGAAGAATCTCATTAAGAACCAACAATAGCAATGCAGTTATAATTTGCATCAAGCCTCAGTAGTACATTAAGATTCAAGTGTGTACAAATGAAGGTACAGAGATCCGTGGGTCTGAGCACTATAAGTCCAAAGTTTAACATAGTCTTTATTGGGAAAAGCTTAAAATTCATCTTATTCAGAATCTGCAATGCCAAACATAATAAGAGGCTCCAGGGAGCTTGAATTGCTCCCCTATTCAACTGGGTCTCTTTTGACTTGATTATAAATAAAGTTCTAGTATGTGCAAGTCTGAGGTGCTAGTGAATAACTTTAATTAAGCTTGATTGCATAAAGTGTTCAATATTCTCAAAAAAAAAGATGAATTTGTTTACGCTACAAACTTTGCCTTTACTGGCGACCATTTTGAAATTCCTATCGCTTCAAAAAGTGAAAAGTTAAACTATAAGGTTGCCGTTATTATCAGATAGCGGCCAGGCGTCTGTAATTCAGTGGTTGTTATTTGTTGCTGTGTTACATATTCGTGTTTCGGTCTTTGTTTGTACATTATTAAAACCGTTATTTTCACTCGTTTGAATTAAATTGTTAAACAGCTATCATTTCGGGGACTCTCCCTCTGGTATCTTTCGTCCCTCTTTTATAGTTGACTATGCGGGGGCTTTTCTCATTATTGAGGGCATTATGATGACCTATAGTTGTTAATTTCTGTGTCATTTAGTCTCTTGTCAATCATAATACATATTATTTTATATATATAACGATGTCGTTATTACGACATAGCTATGTCGTAATTACGACATAACTTTGTCGTTATTACGACATAGTGATGTCGTAATTACGACTTGTTATGTCGAAATTACGACATAGCGATGTCGTTATAACGACATGTTATGTCGAAATTACGACATAGCGATGTCGTTATAACGACATGTTATGTCGAAATTACAACATAGCGATGTCGTTATAACGACATGTTATGTCGAAATTACGACATAGTGATGTCGTTATTACGACATGTTATGTCGTAATTACGACATAAATTTTTTTTTTTTTAATGGCCCTTATCGGCTTCCGTATCCTAGTGGCTAATGTACACGAACAAGATTATTATGCAGTTAGCCAAATGCAGGAGTCACCAAGGGCAAGTGCTTAAAGGACATAGTAACATGTTATGTAAAATTTTTGTGCAAAAATTATTTGGATTTGGATGCAGCCTCTAGCACAACTTGTCCCAATGCTCTGAGAAAAAATACACAAAATCACACAGAAAAAAAAATAAAATCCATATGCAGTTGCTGCTAGAATGTTGCTAAACATGCAGAAATTGAAAGTTCACTATCGGAAAATCGAAATGATCTTATTAGATGTAAAGTTCAGTTCTCATCCGACCTTCATTCTCAATTTCTAACGTGACAGGTGCCACATGTAGAGCAAGATCTGCTTAACCTTGCGGAGACAAAACTTAAGTAAGAGACTATGTTCCTTGTCAATGAAAACCTTATGAGAGGGAGCATGTTTTGATGTAAGCTGTTAAGATTTTTCATTCCGTATAACATTTTTGCAATCCCCTTTACTATAAATGTGTGATGCATTTAAGGTTTCAAAATCATTGTCAGATCCCATCTAGTATAAAAACCAGGAGATGTGGTATGATAGCCAATGAGACAACTATCCACCAGACTAGTATAAAAACCAGGAGATGTGGTATGATAGCCAATGAGACAACTATCCACCCGAGTTAAAATGAAGTGGTAGTAAGCAATTACAGGACACCGTACGGCCTTCAACAATGAGAAAAAACCCACATCGTATAGTCTTCTCTAAAAGGCTCCGAAATGAAAGATGTGAAACAATTCAAGCTACAAAACTAATCGTCTAATTTATATAAAAATAATTTACTAAAAACAAATATGGCAGATATGAACAAATGACAACAACTGTACTACATGCTCCTGACTTGGGACAGACACACAAAGAATGTGGCGGGGTTAACATTTTTCTGAGATTTCACCCCTCCCATAACCTGGGACATTAGTGTAATAGCACAACATAAGAACAACTGGTAATGGTTTTCCTTTGGATAAAGTAACATTCGGTGGATAGTCCGTCATTTTTTAATGTAGTATTATGGTGCCAAGCGGTAACTAAATCACCTAAATAGACAACTTTGTTTTTTTCAGTAGTCAAACTGTCTCTCTCGAGATTAATACTTGGAAACGCCACGCAAAGCAAAATTCATAAAGCTCAAAGCATAAAGGATCATAAAGCACAAAGAAAGAAAAAAATCATTCAGCTAAAAGCATAAAGCACAAAGCAAAATTAATAGAGTAATTGAAATGTATTTTGTAATCTAACGGATTCGTTAAGATTTCTTCATGAACAAAAATTTGTATTTTAAAATTTTTAATATATTTATTCAAAATAAACTCCATGTACAATTCCTATGGCAAACAAAGAAGTGTTTTTGTATACAACGTAAGCAAAACTGTCGTGTTTGGGATCCCATACAGAACGACTAGCTGTTTCTAGTCCCTGGTCTTTACATTGTCCAATAATCACGTTACTTATTATTTTGTAGCGCGGGAAACCCAAAGATTTCACTTGATTTTTCACAAGAACGGACAAATCCAAACAAAGTTTTGAACATCTATCTGGGTCATATTTGATGTCGCCTAGGTAATTTTCAAAGGTTTTATAAATTTCTGATTTGACCTTATGAGTCGCAAATTTTGTACCTTCATCAGGCGCCATTTTGAAAGTATTCTCCAATTTAATTTTTGGTTTGTCATCTGGTTTTTCCTCGGCTAAATCTGAAAGTCCGGCTCTCGTCATACGCCTATGACGAAGCATTTCTGTTTGGGATGCTGTAAGTTTCACAAAAGAAGAACGTCTTCTATTACGCATGCTCATGGTTGGAGTCTTGAGAAGCTTGCTGTTGGAAGACGATTCGGAATCATCAAGGAAGTTCACAGATTCCTTTTTTGACTCCGTCTAAACAAAAAAAAAACATATATTTGTGAACATTTAACAATTAACAACAGTAAAATTGCCTCAAGGTCTATTTTTGCAAATGCCGGTCACAGTCATGTCCGGATCCAACGCAAAAATTCTAAATTATAACAATCATAACTATAGATGCCCTATTCTGCTATATCATTAGTTTCGTTCTCATAAAAAAAAACATCCGCTCTTTTCCCCTTAATAACTCACGGAGAGGGTTGACACTTCAATTCGACAAATATTTTGCTTAGAAGTTTGGTTGTACCTTAATTCAAATGGCACATCCTAATTTTTACAGTGATGTCAATATAGCTCGTAATTTTAGATACGATCCATGTAAACTTATTTATTTTTTTTAGATAAAACTGAAGTAAGACCTTTAAATATTATAAAAAATCGTTACTAACATATATTGCTTTTGTTTTTGACTAATTAAAACATAACCAAATATGTATTGCTATAAAGTTATGAACACTTGCGGTTCTACATCCTGCCGATACTTATATTTTGTCGTTTTACACTTGGTAATGCTTTTTAGAGACTGTTTATGACGTCTTGCTACTAAATCCGTTGGATGTGAACTGATTGATATTCTAGTCCGGGAAAATAAATTGTTTACTTATTGGTTGAATTTGTCTTGATATCATGAGACTTGTAAACTCGTTGATTATTTGAATCAATTTATTTAAGGAATGATCATTGTAGTATTTTTCTGTCTATGAAGAAATAAACTAAAAACTAGACAAAGTGATGTCCCCGCACTCCAATCTGAAGAAACTGTATTATAACAAGCCAATGTAGGACTTTCTTTGAGATATTATTGTGTCTGGGAGACACAAATGATGCCCCCGCAGATGAAAAGTATTAGGAGGAGTTATCCGTACACGCTATGCACCTCTTGTGCAAGTAAATACTCCAAAAAATGACAAAATTTAACTATCTCCCAAAAGAGCAAATATTAAAAAAATAACCCTGACCACATGCACACGTTCAATATATGTACAAACAGCCAGCAAAGTGAAAACTTCCTAGCATTCAAACTGTAGGAGGAGTTATCCGTACACGCTATGTACCTCTTATGCAAGTAAATACTCCAAAAAATGACAAAGTTCAACTGTCTCCCAAAAGAGCAAATATTAAAAAAAAACCCTGACCACATGCACACCTTCAATATATGTACAAACAGCCAGCAAAGTGAAAACTTCCTAGCATTCAAACTGTAGGAGGAGTTATCTGGAATAGCTATATACCCATAATGGGACGGACGGACGGAAGTACGGACGAACAATGGTAAAACAATATGCCCCCAACTTTCTCTTCAATTGGATCACATTTTGTCATGCTTTATATATAGCTTGCTTTACGGTATGAAATTGCTCATTGTCGAAGGCCGTACTGTGACCTATAGTTGTTTACTTTCTCGTGCTTTGGTCTCTGGTGTATACGTGTCTCTTTGGCAGTATTTTCACATCTCCTTTTCTTTATGGATAGTTGTCTCTGTAGTAATCATTCCACATCTTATTATCTTTATATTAATAGAGGACAGTACTAAAAATATGTACTTACACTAACTGAATCTGACATAATGGCTCTAGATATATCAAACTGGTCTGCCTGGTGAATAAAAATAACATTGATAAAATGATAAACATGAACTGAGTCTGATATATTATTATGTAGATAACCTTAACATTACAACGTTGCCTGGTAAATAAAACAACGGGTAAATTAGACACTCTTACAAAATATGACACCCCTAACTACACTTATATATAATCATATAAAGAGTCAAAAGACTAATAAGATGCTTCTGACAGATGAGCGAATCACTTACGGTCGATGCCACTGCTGCATGGTAGACGTCTCGCCCCAGAGAGTACCGACGGCACAATAATCAGCACTTTTGTGTTGACATGAAATAGCATTAATATGTTCATCGTCTGTAGATTTACCGTTTACAAAATGTTGAATTATTTGAAACAATAAGGTGTTTCTACCCATTGACATGAATTGCCTAAACAGTATCAGAGGCGGATTTAGAGGGGGGTGCCCGGGCCCCCATATGGAGCTTCATTTATGGTTAATTCGGACTTTTTACCGGTTCTACTACAAATTTTGTCTAGTTGTCAAAATCCTGGATCTGTATCTGAGTAATTAATTCAACTTTTAAAATGTTTGCGCTTCAACTCCGTATTTGATTTGGTCTTTCCAACTGTAATGATTCGAGCGCCACTAATTATTCTTATGCAGACGAAACACGTGTGTGGGGTTCCAAATTATAAGCTTGTTATATCTTTGCCCATGCATCGTTAATTGCTACTTTTGAACTTCTTGAAATTTGGATAAAAATGTTAGTGTCTTATAAATAAGATCTGAAAATTTGGATCAAGTCGGTGAACATGAATTTGACAGTTAATGCCCCTTAAAGGTTTAGTTGTTTAAACCCATATAGTTGTCTCAGATTTTTCATAGAAATCCCCATAGTTTAAGCACGGACCGCGAAGAGGACCCCAAAAATGAACTGTCACGCCAACAGAGAGACTTTATTTGCACAAGTACAAATAAAGCAATGCAGGATAACATGAATTGTGTATAGAATTTGTAAAGAAAGAATACAAGTATCCTCTATTGTTAAATGTTCTGATTTACATGATTTACATGATTTACATGATCAAATACTCATACAACACTAGTAAATTACATAAACAGATCAAATACTCATACAACACTAGTAAATTACATAAACAGATAGTTTTAATCAATACTCAAGATGGATCGCTATACATGGTAGATCAGGGCTTTTTAAAACTTAATGTGTGATTGTAAATTTAAACTAACAATCACTTTTGGAATATTTTACTTTTCTGAAAAATAAAACGGTAGCGGTCAAAAGGTGTACTTGTTGGAGGCTGAACTAAAAATAATGACAGGAGAAAAGATTATGAAAAGAGGAAATTATTCATTCAAATTTGAAATTCGCCTAAAATATTAAGGTCACAATTGCAAATAAACAGTAAACTCTTAATAACGAAAATTTAGTTCAATTCCCATCTCGCCTTAGTATTTTTTTTACCTTTTTTACCTGGAATTCACAGCTAAGGCGAAATGGGAACACACCATCTGGAGTATAGCTATTGAATCATTTATTTTTAATGTAATATATCTTAAAAATTACTATATAATTAATACTATATATATATATATACGCTCGGAAACGGACCCTTAAATTGGATTCAATAAATATTCTTATTCTTATTCTTATTCTTCTTATCGAAGTTACATATATAAAATAGGGGTACATATGTGAATCTGATCGCTGTTTCTTATATACAGAATAGGGGTACATATGTGAATCTTATCGATGTTACATATATATAGAATAGGGGTACATATATGTGAATCTTATCGATGTTACATATATCAAATAGGGGTACATATGTGAATCTTATTGATGTTACATATATATAGAATAGGGGTACATATATGTGAATCTTATCGATGTTACATATATCAAATAGGGGTACATATGTGAATCTTATCGATGTTACATATATATAAAATAGGGGAACATATGTGAATCTTATCGATGTAACATATATATAAAATAGGGGTACATATGTGAATCTTATCGATGTTACATATATATAAAATAGGGGTACACATGTGAATCTTATCGATGCCGGAGTTACATATATACAAAATAGGGGTACATATGTGAATCTGATCGATGTTACATATGTATAAAATAGGGGTACATATGTGAATCTGATCGATGTTACATATATAAAATAGGGGTACATATGTGAATCTTATCGATGTTTAACTCTTGCATGGTCTATACACGAGCTGAACAAGTATTCAACAGGATTAAAATCTAAATAGTTTCTGCTCATTCCATCGTTGTTTATGATAGCTGGACTTAAAATAGCTCGTCGATTCACTACTAATTATGGAGAAATGTATTTTATGTATATTAGTCATAACTCATAATAAGAATATTTGATGTACTTACCAAAAGATTTTCACTTTTTCCTTTATTCTAACAACTTTGATTGTTTAAAAGAATAGTAACCTGTCGCCGAACTTTAACTCAATCAACCCTATTAATCTTTTAAAACCATTTTACACATCGTCTACCAAATCTTAACAAATACACAAGCTATAAACATGTAAATATTCTATATATCGATACATAAGCTGCTTTAACCATACTTAAAAAGTAATTAAAACTTAAATTATTTATTTAGTTAAATGTTAAGTTACGTATTTTATGAAAAATAATTATTTCATTAAACTACAAACAATATGGGTTTTTTTTTTTACAAACAGAAAAATCGATTCAATTGTAATTTACTAGAATCTTTACTTCGTTGGTTTTTATATCTTCTCACAGTTTAGCTACTCACAATTTAATTTATCTCCTATAAATATAAAATTGATTTTTTTTTTAAATTCATTGGATTTATATCGCATCTCGAAGAGGCATTTCGAAATGTTTTTTTTTTTCATAACTTGAGAAGAAACGAAAAGAAATGAAATACGCTTGAAAACTATAAATGATACAAATGAAAATAAAAACCTTGACGTTCTTTCCAATTAATAACGCAATAGAAAATTCAGATTACTATCTGCATTTTAATCTTAATCTTAAATCCGCATTTTCTATAGTCGTTCTCTTCTTACTTTCTAACAAGTAAGTAAATTGGTGTGTTGAGTTATTGTTTGATGGAGATCCTTTTCTCAGTGGAAAATTAAAAAAAAATGAAAATAATAATTTGATAAAGAACAAGCAAAATTTTTCTGTTTCTTTCATTGCCGGAACGTGGACAGCTCTCTTCCCTTCTTCCACTCCCCAAAAAATAATAAGGTTTTGAAATCCAATGTTATAAAAATAGGAATACAGTCTTTTGTCTTGAAATTATTAAAAAAAAAAACTAGAACACATCAATAGGTCTATCGAAGCGCTGCCTGATGTATGTAATAATGGTAACAGTAGTTTAAAAAAAAAATATCTCTTAACTTGGTACTTGCCCTGAACATGAAATATTTGCCATTGGACGTTAAGCAACCAACAATAAATCAATAATAAAGACAAATCAAGGGTACACAGACAAAAAACTGAGGGAATCGCATGAATTCATTAAGGAGTGAGACCGTGTGCGTCGACAGGTTAAGCATCTTCAGCTATATTCATGCCTCATGGAGGCAATAACAAATATGTTAACATTTATATAATTTTAGATTTACTATCTGAGACATATAACATATACAATACAAAGTATAGAATACAAATGATTATTTGTGTCTACAGACTGGCAAAATAGTTGCTTATTTTAGTTTGAAAGTCCGCTAAGGATCTATACAGATTGTCATCGTCGAGGCCAGGGCAAACAGTAGTGGCTCCTCTAAATGATTGCAACACTGCAAGAGACACCCGGGACTATGAGGAGTACCCGTGTGTCTATACGAAAATAAAAAATACAAATAAAAATTCTTTATTTTCCAATAAACGTGCTATCGTGGCCACATAAATCACTGTTAAACATCTACCCACATATTATTTGTGGCACATTAAAAAAACTTTCTTAAAGATATTACAAAAGTGCTGAACGGGTTTGCCTTAAGAGTTTACTCTCTTTAAACGGCATGTATTGCTAGGCAACTAGTCGAAATATGTTGGGTCAACCGGTTTGAAGTTGCGTAGGCATGTGCGGATTCACTATCTTCAAAATGGAGAGGAGTGAGGTGGTTCTAGAGAGTCCATCATAATTTCGTATTTTTTACGTGATACAAAGCAAAATCCCTATGAAAAGAAAAGGCCCCCCGCACCAGACCTGATCCATCAATGGTTGTGACATGACACTCTTTAAAAGAGAGGTTTGGTTTTAATGTCCCAAATTAAAACTGTTGTAACACCAAAGATAACAGGGTTAATTAGAAATATGGTCAACTTGGTTTTCATCCGCCCGGCAGTTAAACCATTGCCAAAGTGGGGCGTCCGTTCGGCTGTCCGGGATATATGAATTCGCAGCCACGTACCATCAGAATGGGGACGTTAAATCCGATGCATCGTGTATAGAGATGACAACGCTTTTTGCTCATCCAAAAAACCTTGCAACAACTCTTTCAGAGGTTCAACATATCATTATTTTCCAGTGGCAGTTCAAACTTCCCGCCCTTCATCCCTTTCGTCCCACGGCTTGATTCTCAGCACGGGTCTGACTGCCGGACAGGAGACGTCCAAATAAACATATAGCTATATAGACGAGTCAACCTTTGGGGTGATAATTTCAACCATCTAAAGATTTCTTCTAATGTCCGGCAGTAAAACCAATGATGATGGAAGCGACTGTTTGATTTTAATTTTGCATATGCGGGAAGGGGTATGATTGTCAATGATACAACAATTCACAAGAGACCATTTCGTATAGTAATTTCTAAAAGGTCCCAACATGCAATGATTCAAACAAAAAAAACAAACGGACTGATTTATGCTAAAACTACATTTATAAAGATGAAAACAATGGCAGAAAGCAACCAAAGAAAAACACTTAATTACACGCAACAGACTTAGGACAGGCACATAAAATATGGCGAGAATAAACAGGTTTGTGGGCGTTCAACACTCCCCTAACCTGGTACATTGGTCGAACAGTGCACCATAAGAACGAACTGTAAAAATAAGTCGAAAAAGGCTTGATTCGTCATATCTGCACTAAAAACACACAAGAAAAAAACTCTAACAAACAGGGGAAAAAAAGCAGAAAATGCCGATCTAAGAGTACTCACAGTTGCTTAAAGCTAGTTTGACTGCAATTACAATCAATAAATAAATAATATTTTCCAAAACTAAATTATCTACCGTTACACATCCAACGAATTTAGTGTAAAGACGTCATGAAAGAGTCTGAGAAAAGCATGACCTTATGCAAAGCCAAAATATAAGTATATCGACAGGATGTAGAACCATAAGTGCTCATGTAGATATGTAAAACAATACATATTTAGTTATATCATAAATACTACAGTGTTAAACTGATAACCGTTATGCATAAATATATTCAAAGGATCAGTAACTTTACAAGGATCGTATCTGTATATACGGGATGATCTATATATACAACATGACTGTAAATGAAAATAAATTTCGTACGTCAGAGGCACCTTTCTGCTTCCACTGTCATCAGGAACGCCAATGTCGTACGTCAGAGGCACCTTTCTGTTTCCACTGTCATCAGGAACGCCCATGTCGTACGTCAGAGGCACCTTTCTGTTTCCACTGTCATCAGGAACGTCCATGTCGTACGTCAGAGGCACCTTTCTGTTTCCACTGTCATTTGGAACGCCCATGTCGTACGTCAGAGGCACCTTTCTGTTTCCACTTTCATCAGGAACGCCAATGTCGTGCATCAGAGGCACCTTTCTGTTTCCACTTTCATCAGGAACGTCCATGTCGTACGTCAGAGGCACCTTTCTGTTTCCACTGTCATCAGGAACGCCCATGTCGTACGTCAGAGGCACCTTTCTGTTTCCACTGTCATTTGGAACGCCAATGTCGTACGTCAGAGGCACCTTTCTGTTTCCACTTTCATCAGGAACGCCAATGTCGTGCATCAGAGGCACCTTTCTGTTTCCACTTTCATCAGGAACGTCCATGTCGTACGTCAGAGGCACCTTTCTGTTTCCACTTTCATCAGGAACGCCCATGTCGTGCGTCAGAGGCACCTTTCTGTTTCCACTTTCATCAGGAACGTCCATGTCGTACGTCAGAGGCACCTATCTGTTTCCACTGTCATCAGGAACGCCCATGTCGTACGTCAGAGGCACCTTTCTGTTTCCACTGTCATTTGGAACGCCCATGTCGTGCGTCAGAGGCACCTTTCTGTTTCCACTGTCATCAGGAACGCCCATGTCGTGCGTCAGAGGCACCTTTCTGTTTCCACTGTCATCAGGAACGCCCATGTCGTACGTCAGAGGCACCTTTCTGTTTCCACTGTCATCAGGAACGCCCATGTCGTACGTCAGAGGCACCTTTCTGTTTCATCAGGAACGCCCTAACCCAAACATTTGAAAGCCAATGAGGTATAAGTCCCCGGTGAGGCGCTATATAAATGAATGGAAGAAAGCCAATGAGGTATAAGTCCACGGTGAGGCGCTATATAAATGAATGGAACCCAAAAGAACTAAGATCAACTTTGCCAGAAAATATTAGGATGTGATTTCACGTTTCAAATAAGATTTCTACAGTAAAAGCCAAACTTCCGAACCAAATATGGCAAATTTTCGCAGTATCATTAGAGAATTCTTGTTAGACGATTTTAACTGAGTATGTCCATAAATAAACATGCACAAGTTTGTGGCACATATGATGCCTATATGGATACTTACAATATGTCGATAAACTGTATTGCTGAATCGTTTATATATAGATGTTATCATGAAGAAAAATGAAAATAACATTTTACAAATTTCGTGCGTCCGAAACGTATTTTGGAATTTACCTTCATAACGGGAACGCCCAAACCAAACTTTTGATATCAAAGGGTGTATAAATACTGAAATACGTGAGGAGATATTAGAACAAAATGGACATAAAATAAATGCACATATATAAATTATATTTCTCTTAGGATTAACGTTTAAATATATTTACAATTTAAAAGATTAACCTTTAATGGCAGGTATTTTACACTTGATAAAAAAAAACACTTAACATTTTATGCAATGGTATGGTGGCATATATCTGCAATGGATATTATTAGTATTTCTTAAACTTAAGCGGATGTTGAAAGATTAATAATCCCTACCTCATATATAAGATCAATATCTTATGTTTTAAAAAAAGTCACATTTTTTGTTAATATTCTAGAATAAATTTGATATTGTTATATAACAACTGAATAAGATTATGGTTTGGCATAAATTTTTCGTTTATGTTTAGTTATGATTTTGTTTTTGTGGTGTTTTCATGTTAGAAGAGCAATTTTAAAGAAGAAAAAATTAATAATACTTAGATATTTAATGATTAATCCCCCGAAAATCAATTGAATTATTGTTGCATACGAATAAAAATAAACTTAACAGAAGAGACAAGAGGC